ATTTTTCTTCAAAAATTCTAGTACCTTCAACTACATTCATCTTGGATTCTGAATATCGATCAACGTATATTTGTTTCATAATATGAATCTTTTTAACATGTTTATGAAACAAAAATTACGTGTAATTTTTTTTTACATTGTGAACCAAGTACATATAAAACAAACATATTATGAAACAAATATATATTTATCATTACATTAAATGTTAGCCTTAAATAGGGGTGGGAAATATATGTTTCTCATGGTTATTACAACATACAGAATTCTCATTTAATTACGCTCTCCATATATACATATGATATAATTATATATTTTTTATTATTATTTATTTATATATATAACCTAATGATAAAATATTAAAATCTTTACCATTGATGGATGTTTTTTTTTACTATTTTAGTTTTGAAAGACTTTCCTTAAATTATGTGGACAATTATGGTAGATGACTAAATTTGGTCGACAATTTCTTTATTATGATTTTTATATTGTAAATGATACTTTTTTTAAATTCGGGTAGCCGTTTTATTTCGGTTCGGTTCAAGTTCGGCTTCAATTTCGATTCGGGTACCGTCTGATAAAGTTCGATTTGCATTTCCCTACTAACCTAACCATGAACCACCCTATTTGTAAGTAAGTTATTGCCAACCTTCTTTTTGTTAATAGTGGTTGATCAGGTATGAACCAACCTTTTCTATTTGTTAATCATCTGTAATCAGACCAACTTGAGTGAACCTCGACTTATCCTCTGAGGCCCTAATGATAACCATTGGGGTAGTTTAACTGGTCAGGTTTTGAGGGTTTTTTTACTGATTGTTAATTTCAAGACCACATGAGATTAGTCGAATTAATGCACATAAGTTGGTCTCAGTATGCACGGTAATAGGGAAACATATTATTTCCTAAACTAGATAAAAATAAAAGTATGTTACTATGCACATAATATGTGTTAAAATTTTTGTATAAAATGAAAACTGATAAAAAAGTAGATTGTTATTTTATATAATTTACCTTAATTATTATAAATGGTGTTATATGCGCTTAATTGACATTTAGGGCTCGTTTACTAGATACTTACCTTAGTAAGCGCTTTCTAGTTCAACTACCTTATCGGATGAAAATAACAAGAGCCAAGAGTCTTACCCGGTAAGTGAGGGTGATGACTTTTACCCGATAAATGCTTATCGGGTTATAAACGCTTACCATTAATACATTTTAATGACAATGAATGTTATCTCCTAAGATAAGTAAGAGTGGTGACTCTTATCAGTAAGCGTTTATCTCATAAGTGTTTGGTAAACGACCTCTTATACAAAATCTACTAGACCTTGTTTTTAATTAAATGTTCCTTACTGTTCTAGTTTAACTAAAGTTTGGGTAAAAGGGTTTCTAACCACTAATCAATAACCCCAGGCCAATCCACACCGCCCCACCCATAAACATCATGTGAGCAAATCTAGTATATAGTGACCTACTAGGTGGTTGACTTAAGAGTTCGGTGTCTACAAGGAGCCCAATCATCATAGGAATCATAACTCCTAGTTATGACTCTCAGAATCGAACCCTCATATGTTTATGCAAGTAAACCACTCAGGATCGGCCCTTGCTATAGGCCAGAGGTGCGACAGTCCAGGGTAGCAAACAGTCCAAGTGCATCATTTGTTGAATCCCAATAGTATATAGGTAGGTTCATTTTGAGTCTTAAAAAATATTACTGTTACATGATTACATCGCTGCTCATTATTATATAGCCTAAGGGCATCGACCGCATTATCTCTCTCAACCTCGCTTCAAGAGCGACTCAATTAGACGAACTCGCTCTTAATCTCGACCTCGTTTCTGGAAGACTGGAACTTGTTTAAATCGTCTCTGGCTCTGGCTCTCGACTCTTTCTCTCGTTCCTGATTCCTGAATTGTCTCTGGCTTGCTGCCCAATGGCTCTTGATTATTGTGGTAAAATTCTAAATCTTGATTTTATTTATTTCATGTTTACTGTTTAGTTTAGATTAGGGTTATTTTGTTTGGTTTAGGTTTATTTATTTCCTGATTATTGTTAGACTTTAGATTAGATTGTTTTTTTGTTGATATTTGTTATCATTGTTATTATTGCAGAAACAAAGTAGGCGTTATTTTTCTATTCTCTATATCATTTCAGTTGTTTAATATATGTTTCCTCGATCACAACCATCGGGATGCTCAAAATAGAAAAAGAAATAAAAGACAAGAAGAAATTGCTCAATCTTTACAAGGATCTTTAAATAAGTTTATTGTTAGAAGAGGCATCTAAGAGTGGAAATCGTTGGACATCAATACAAATTATGGAGTTTGCAAAGAAGATGGATATGTTTCCAGATGTCTTGCTTGCTTGTCAGATTATGTTCCCCGTTGTATCATATTAGTTATATTTAATAAAATTCAGCATGGATAGATTGACTAGATTCCACCTCCATGTAGTTTATTTCGGTTTTTATATACACATACGAGGGGGCTTTTATGGCTTTTCGCCATCGACATCCGAAATCTCAGGACCAGACTTAATACCACTCCATAACCAATAGTACTACGCATGAGGGGCATTTTAATTAAAGTTCACGAAAACACACAAGACATTCATCGATAACTTGTTTTAACCTGTTAAACATTGCTAAATTGTGTTGGGTACAAAAGTATATCGAACTTTTGAATGCTCAAATGAGTTACCAAAATAAACCCTCATATCTGATAATTGAACAATCTGTTACTAATTTCAAACTCAAACGCGATAATTCTTTTACATATTAAATATTATGTTATGATCCTAAAGAGGTTTACACATTATCAGTAGATATAATAGCTAAAATCTGTATGAAACATATAGAATTAAACGTTTATTATATTAACTGGAACAATTATTATACACTAAATACAAAAAAAAAATGCATTTGATTTATTTTTTATCTGTAAAAACATGATTAAAAATTAATATTAAAATTTTTATGTTAATTGTTGTCTGAAAAAATGTGAAGTATTTCATTAAAAATTGTAATTTTATCAGAAATAATACAGAACGAATAATAAAAATCCATAAAAAACCATAACAACTAGAAAGATTAAAAGTGTTGTCTCATTTTTTATAGCTCTAATTTCTTTCAAAAATCAAAGCAAAAATACAAGATTACACATTTTCAAATTTTCTTAAAAATAGTTTTTTTAATATCAGTATAACCATAGTCAGTGGTTGTTTTCCAAACGCTTTACCGGTAATTACTTTTTGGCAATAGTACCACCTTAACTTACCTTATCGGTAATATTGTTGGTCATCAAAATGAATTGTTGGTAAGTGTCTTTTACTAGGTAAACATTTATCGGGTAAAACTCTTCTCTTTCACTTATCAGGTATGATTCTCGGTTCTTAATATTTCTCTTTCCGGATAAGATTGTAGGTCTTTGTCATGCTCATGTCTATGGTGACACCTGGTAAACACCCATCCAATAAACATTTATTAAACGGACACTAAGAGGCCGTTTATCTAGATGCTTACCAGGTAAGTGCTTAACGTCATGAGTCAACACTATAATTTATTTTATCTGATAAGATTGTAGTACATCAAAATGGTATTGTATTCAACAATGGGTAAGAGTCATCACACTCGCTTACCGAATAAGACTCTTCATCTTTATCATTGTTCTTACCGGGTAAATTTTTTGACCATTGTCATGTTCATCCGGTAAGAAAAATTATCCAGTAAGTACTTACCGGGTAAGCGTTTAGTAAACGACCCCTAACTAAACATAAATTTATTATTTTTAGTAAAAAAGATATATGAAATAGTCTTATTATGTGATAAAAGAAATGAAATATTGAAAAAGATGGAAGGTTTCCCATTTCAAGACAAACAACAAGATGAGAAAATAAAGAAAAGAACAAAAGAGAAGGAGAGTCATGTTTTTTGTTTGCATTTTTGTGGGGTTCTTAATTGCTTTACTCTAGATTTGTGGGGTCATTTTGCAATAAATTCATACTTTCTTTCCTTTTCTAAAAACAACTAATCTTCTTTCTTTCATTTTTTCACCAATTACCCCCCTTCACTTCATTCACATTCTCTTTTTAACCCCCGTAAATGTTTTATTCTTCACTTTTCTACACCAATTTCCACTACTAAACTCTCCTAGTCCTTTATTTCCGATTGGTTAAAATGGAGAAAGCGTGTGAAATTCTTAAAGTTTAGAGAGAACCCGTTAAAATATTTAAAATGGAGAAACTGTTGGAGTTGAATGTAGTTTTTTAGTACTTTAATTCTTCATTTTAAATAAATTTAAGAGAACCCGTTAAAAATATTTTTATAATCCATTTGTATTTAGCAGATAGCACAAACTATAAGTCCTCCAGATATAGAAAAATTAGATCATAATTGTTGTATTTGTATTATATTATGATGAAAACTACAACAAATCTATTTTTAGAAAATCCAACAAATTATTTATGTCCATTATAAATTAAAAAATATTTTATATGTTTTTTGTTAGATACAATTTTGTTGCATGTTATAAATCCTTGAAGTTATGCATTACTTATTTATTTCATTAAATAGATTCTTATATTAACAAATAATGATGGCAGCAAACTTGACAATTATGTCATCTAATATTAACTATATAACATATTTATTTTAATAATAATAAACTATTTATGAATTAAAATATTAAAAACTCAAAAAACAAAAATGTGATTATTTTTATACACGTAGAGTTGGGATCATGTAACAGCAATTTTTGTGAGGATATAAGAACACTTGTGAGTGTAAATGATCAGTTATTTTTTTAATCCAACGGTCAAAAAAGATTGACCATCGAATATCTCGGTCACTTTCATTTACGTTCACATACATTCAATCACTTTTATATACGAATGATAAAAATAGGTTAATAAAGGTAACTGAAGGTTCGGGAAATGCAAAAGTTGCGAGAAGGGAGAGATAAGGGAAAACAAGAGGGGTGTGTATGTAATATACAAATCTTGGAGGTACTGATCTATATATTCTATTATATTACAAGGACAATTTTCGGAAACTTCGGAAATACCGATTATGTCCCTACCTTCGGGATGCAAAACAGTTGCACAAATTCGAGCGTCCAAGAACTAATACTATCCGTTAGATTAAAGTCAAAGAAATCTTGACCGTTCATCGTAATGCAGGTCCATTTCCTAGCCCTCTTCTCTTCTCTTTCTTTCTCTATCACTTCTACGACTTTTAACCGGAAAACTTCATAGAAAAGGCGAACGGCGGGGGACACCCTTCCGCCGATTCGCCGAGAATTCTGACGGCAAAGAAGTAACCGGCAGACAAGCAGCTACCGGTCGGATTGTCGACTTTGAGCTTCTCTTTTTTCTCACAATCTCAGTGGTCGCAGTGGAAGCAATTGTCCGGCAGTCGAATCCGACGACGGCGGCTCCGCAGCTGGCGCTCGAGCCAGATGAAGTTCTTAGTGAAACGAAAGGTTCAAGGACCGAGTCAGGTGTCATTAGACCGTCGTCAAAACCCGGTTCCGGTAAAGTGAGCACCTCGCAGTCGTGCAAGTATTCAGACATCATTCCTTCACTTCTTAGAATATGATTAATCTGCAAGAATTCGAAATTCTTTGTTAAAAAGATGGCAAGTTTGAAGAAAATTATCCAAAAATAATGAAAACCCAGTAAAGAAGGCGTAAAAATATCAAATGGGTCGCCATTAAATTCCGGATTTTAGTGCTAAAGGCAAGGTATTGAATGTTGGCATAAACTAATATACATTTTTACACTGCATATACATGTATATATATAGAGAGAGAGGAGAGAATTTGATCAGTCAGTGAGAATACGAACGAAAATTAACACCAATTTTTCCCTCAATAATTCAAATTGTGGTTAAGACATTAAAATTAGGGTTCACATATTCATACGTACGTACTAGTACGTATACATAAACACGAGAAGTTTGGAATGTTCAAGAACAATCTCAAAACTAGGAGAAAATAATAAAATCTACTTTTAAATATCAAATGGGTTGGCGTTGAATTTCAACTTCAGTACAGAAATTTAAAGAATTTAAGGTTAATATAAAGAAATATCCCCACATACATTATTATGTCTCTATAATACATATATAATACAGAGAGAGAGAGAGAGAGAGATGGGGGGAAGGGTTCTTCATAATCTTATCAAGTAAACAAGAAACACCAATGGGTTTTCCACAATAATTCAAACTAGGTTGAAATATCAAGAAATATACAAGTTCACATAACCATACATATATGTGTGTGAGTATATATATATATATATATATATATAGAGAGAGAGAGAGAGAGAGAGAGAGATGAGAGAGAAACCTTGCAGAAAATAGAGCAGAAGAGATATGGGTCTTGCAGGGCTCTGTCGCAGCTGATGCAGCAATTGCTTGAGTTTCTACATGCTCTAGTTTGTGGCCTTGGATTTAAGAACACAACTTTTGCACTGTTTGTTGTGTAAGACTGTACACACACATCAAAATAAAAAACAATTTATCAAAACAAAAAAAAAGAAATCCATTCAAGAACACCAAAAAGGTGACCAAACAAAATGAAAACACTACTCACTTGAACATAAGAACAATCCATCAATTTCTCAGCATCTCCAAGTCTAATAACATCATGATACACATACCTCCTTATCTACAATTAAATTAACCACATATAATAAACCATTAAATCCTGAATGAAATTAATTAATGAATTATATATACATAATAATTAATTATAATTATAGAGGTAGACCTGTAGGAGACGATGAGAGCCATGAGGGGTTAGACAGTGAGGACAGATACCCTCACAACAATCAAGACAGAAGATGTTCTTCTCGTTCTTTTTTGAATCTTGATGAATTACGCAAGCATTATAGAATTTCTCAGAGAGTAGAGATTCAAGCCACACAGGTAAATTTGATGAAGACGATGATTCAACCTGCAAATTATGTGTATATGATGATGATTAGATAAGAGTGGATGGAAATTGGAATGATTTTCCGTAAAAGAAAGATGAAAACCTAATTAAACAACCAACCATGATTCTTGACGAAAGAGAGAGTGTTGAATTTGGTGGGTTTTTGATGAAGATGAAGAACAGAGAAGGTAATATGGCTATGGCGTCATGAGAGAGAGAGAGAGAGAGAGAGAGAGAGAGAGCGGCGCCTGGTGCAGAAAAGAAGTGAAAGAGTGGTATGGAAGAGAAGAGGAGGTGAGGCCTCTCCAATATTTAAAAAAAGGTCTCGACTTTTTGGCTTCTTGCTTCTCAATTCTCATAGACGACTACGACTACTACTCTACTCACTGTGTGTGTGTGTGTGTTTGTGTCTATCTGTGTGTGTGTTTTATTTTTTATACAACATTCATATGGAAAATGTTTTATGTTTTATAACCAGTAAATTTGTTTCATCAATAATTGATAACAAGTATATCTTTTTACAAATACTTTATATATATATATATATATACTATCTAATAAATTAGATTTATCAAAAGTCTTAAAAATAATTTTTAATTTATAAAGTATTATACATTTATGTATAAAGTCTTAAAATAACTTATAATGCATTAAATATTACTACTTTATGCATTTAATCTTAAAATCTCTTAATCTATATTAAAATAACATATATTACAAGTTATCAATGCACATTATTATATTTTTTTTATGATTCCAATATACTTTTGACATCTTTCACTCATACATTCACCCTCTCATACCTCTATATTTTCTTCTCATCCCCCAAGATGATATTCAATATGATATTCTTCATGAGTTATTAAAAGTTCGTTCATTCATTTCTCATTCAATTGCTCTAGAACTCTCAGTTTCGCTCTCGATCTCTTGAGTCTTTGCTCTTGGTGTAAATCGAACACATTGTGGAGTTGTTTAAATATGTTGGATTTTAAGTGTACTGGATTTTAAACTGTCATACTATTTTTTTTTATCGATAGACTGTAATTGGAACCATAACTCTTATTAAATGTAACTTATATCATCGTTAAATATTCTCTAATAAAACCAGTAAAACTTCAAAATCGTTAAAATTTACGGCTCTCGTCGCATTACACGTATACACAACTAGTAGTTTTCTTTAAATGAATTTTATGGGTTGTTTGGTTTATAGGGTTAGGTTAGATTTAGAGATATTTGTAATTGAATTGTATTACAATTTTATATTTAATTTGAAAGATTTTTTGGATTTAAAATCCCATTAAAGTGGCTGAGATTTCTTAAAATTTGTATGTAATGGTAATTTAAAATATGTTAACAAAATTTGTTTTATAACAATTAATTAATAAAAAAGTAATTAAATTATTTGTATAATACAAACCAAATACATTAAAAGCTGATAATCATCCATACAATCCTTGTAAATTGGTAAAAGAAATGAACCTTCGTTTCCCAAAATTGTCCATTTTTTATTAGACATGTTCCATTCGGGACGTTTGGTTTGATGGAATGATTTTGAGTGATTTGGATTTTATAAAAATATTTAAAATTGGAACGATTTGAAATCTTTGATGTGTTTGGTTTAATGAATTTGAAATGGAATATAATTCTGTATTTTATAAATGATTTATAAAACAAATTATTAATAATTATAGAAATAATTAAATTACCTTTTTATTACTGAATTATTAGAAAACAAGTGTTTTAAATATATTTTAAAACATTATTATATAGAAATCCTATGAAATCCCAACCACACTCGTGGGATTTCAAAATCCTATGTTTATAAGATTTCAAATAATTTCTAGGATTTCAAATTCAAACAATTCGGCAAACCAAACATGAGATTAAAATTGATTTGAAATACAAATCCCTCCAAGTTTATTTCATTCCTACAAACCAAATGAATTCTATAAGTAAAATTAAGATATAAATATGTTTTGTAAAAATAGCAATACTAATAATAAATAATGTGACAGCTAAAAATTTAAACTTATTAATACAAAAACTTGTATAAAAATTTACAACCGAAAAGTAAACGAAGTTAAAAAATTTATTTTATAATAATTAATTTCTATCTTTTGTATCAATTTTAATTTATATCTTTTTATCAATTCTAGTTTGTATATTTTACACATTTATAAAAAATAAAATGATTTAAAATAATAAATAAAAAATAGCGGGAAAAAAATGTATACGAAAACCTAAGTTCTTGTTTAGGTACCTGGGTTCTAATAAGAAATGTGACTGGAGAATAATATGTGTTCCACAGATAGAGTTTTTATGAAAACCCTAAAATCAAATGTATATTATAAATAAATAATTTTCTTAACCAGTAATGAAATTCAGACTTTCATTTTCACACTAGTTAAAGCAGATGATTTTTTTGTTTATTTGTATGTTCCGACTGAATGTTAATTCTACAATTATCAAGTAACAATTAATCTAACAATCAAGAACAACAATTACAGATGAAATCATCATGTTATTAATAGTTTCTCTCTCTACAGTATGTTTCTATCTCTAAAATCTCTCTCTAACAATTACAAGAGGATTTGCATGCAGATCTCTTTTTCTACTTTTCTATAATCTAACAATCTATTTATATGATTGATTAATACAAAGTCAAACTATAACACAAGCTCTAACTATGACGTTGACTTTTTAACGAATGTTAACAATTTTGACTTTCTTTTATTTTTGTAGAATTTTGACTTTCATTATTCACCATTCTTCAAATCTTCAATCTTGGTGACCTCGGATAAAATTATATCTGACCTAACACTAATCCAGTAATTTGATCAGTTTGTGAATTGATTAAGGATATGTTTGGTGGTTGCTAATTAATAAGGTAGCTGATGGATGATAAGTCAACTGGGTAGCTGATAAGGTAGTTGATGGCTGATAAGTTAACTGATGAACAAATAATGTTGGCAAAAACTAGCGGATAAACATGTAACATGACCAAAAAAGATGTCTTGAAAATTTAATCATTTACAATATTTTATAAAATAATTAAAACAGATTTTTAATGATATAATATATTAATTTTTAATAACTTAATATTGAATAATAATAATATAAAAACAACTGATATGATAAT